AAACTTCTCTCTACTAACAGAGTGTCTATTCCCGTAGGAAACTCAATGTCAACCTTGATAGCTTTACTAATATCCAGCTGGACAATCATCTGTCGCGTCAAGAGGAGAGATCTCGTCAGACTGCACTGATATCGTTCATAAACTCCAGCCTCTAATAAAACATTTTAGAATTGAATGTCTCGAGCTGGAGACCGAGGAAGATGAAGTACGCCACAATGATAATCTTTGTCAAGGTTGTCAGACATCATAGAAGCAATGCCAGTAACTGAGGGCAAAGACCGCTGCAGTTGATGCCAGGAATTGGTAGGGTACTGTGTACAGGACCTGTTTTGAGTGCACCGTGTACCAGTATCGAAATATGATAAGATCAATGTATTCGGAGTCTTGACATGGGAGAAATTTGGCGTCATCACTCCTATTTTGTAGTATCCGAGACTTTCGTGCTGGTCGCCCAATATCACCGGAGGAGGTTCCTCAGATCTTCGAAACATACCATTTTGTACCGCAACAAGACCGAGATAGATTCAGAATGGGCTCGAGTGGATCCATGTCATCAACAAACGAGAATAATGCTGACATGTGGGAGAGGATGCATTTCAAAAATGTTGTGTGGTGACTGCTCCTTGACCAGATACACTGGTATGTTTCTGGTATTTGGTGGGCCTCAGCAAGTTTGCCGGGTTCCCCAAGCCTATGGCCTGTTGCATGCAGCATACATGGAGGAATGATCATCTTGTGTTGCTTCGACATGGTGGTGGAGAGAGTGAAGGCCCGCCTTCGAGCTTCTCTTGCAAGGGCTCTAGGTTCTCCTCAATTTTGTGATCAGCTGGCTCTTTTGGCACGTTGGCTCTTCCTTCTTGAAGTTGACGTAACCTTTACAGTGCATGCATCTACGTTAATTTTTACTCATCTGTCAGGTGCTTTAGATCAGGGTCCTGAGCATCAACTCTGTGTCTTGTGTGAGTTAAATTTGAACAGTATGCATCGAGTACTCGCACCGAAATGTTAAACCTGAATTTTGGGTCATGTCCCTCCTGACGAGTTGAACAATTATACCATACGTAGGAGTCGGAGAGAGCAAATGTCATAGAATAGGCACGAGATCTCAGTCTCTTGTAAACCAACAATGGAGCAGTTGGATTGGTGGCGATGGCAATATTGGCATCATCGGTATTCCTGGGTTCGATCCTGTAGGGACGTATTTTTGATGAATTTCGGTGGCACTCTAAACACTGATTATTTCGCAGTTCAACAGCGTTCAAACACTCCGTTTAAACTCCCCTCAACCACAGTGTTCAAACCTAATCGGCTGAAACCGTTCCGACAGCCTCGTGTGATACTGTAGTAGGGTGTAGTCCTGTTGTTCATCAGAACAATGCTCAAACACGGTTTTACGTTGAGACGTCCATTGTTTAAACAATTCTAATATAGATTTATTTGAATTTGGGCATCAATCGAGGCGTTCTCGCCAATCACAGGTGCGCCGGACGATAAAAGGTGAAGAGACGGAGTTCGCCGGAGTGAAGAAGGAGCACATATCTAAAATCAACCGAAAAAGGCAGACAAGTTGGCAAGACCCGACCCCGAGTCGAACGGAGGGTTCTTCTGCTGAGCTACGAAATGGGTTCATGCTACAATTCGCAGAGGCGGCCGTCCGCCATCGGGTCTGTATGAGCGCTAATTGAGGGGGTTTATCCTCCTGAGTACTGGAGCACTGACATTGAATTTGCCATGCATGTAATGAGTGGAGGGGGAATTCACGCTGGGCATCAATTCAAGGTGCTCTCGCCAATTCCAGGTGCGGTGGTCGATGAAAACGAGTCGGAGTGAAGAAGGAGTACACATCATACAGCTAAACTGGAAAAAAGGGGCAAATAAATTCACAAGCCATGACCCGACCCCGAGTCGAATGGGGCGCTATTCAGCACTTGTCTTCGCGGATGGAGGACGCGGGCCTCCGCAATCCTATCGAGTCAGGTGTCTAATAATTTGATTTCGGGGCTCCTCCAATGGGTATTGTTTACAAATCCAATTGCGATGAGAAGAAAAGACAGGAAGCGAAGTGCTGTATATTCATATAGACAGATAGTACGTCAGGGCGCCCAAGGAGGTGCATTGATTTGTATCCGCACCTCATTGAAAATGTAAAAAGAAAAGAAATGCAGGAGTTCAAGTTAGATCGTCAGGAGGACTCGAACCTCCGCGCTCCTTGTGGTTCTTCGCATCACTTCAAGGTGACCTACCACTAGTCTCCGACGGCTGTTGCAAGCGGTCGTGATTATTGCCATCCTCTGAATAATGCTATATGAGCCCACCTCCTAGTCGAACATCTCACCTATACACATACCAGCCAGCCAATCAGATGGAATAACATTTGTTCTAGTCCAACATGACAATACGGGTGAGGAGGGAGACTCCCGAGAGCGCAAATTCAAGCGATAACTTTGGATAGTGGTGCGGAGGATAATGGATGGAAATCTCGGGTGTCGGCGAGTGCAAATGTAAAGATTTTTGAATTCCACTATCACCTGGCGGGCCGAAATTGATCGTTGAATCTCAGCCGTGAATGTTTTAGATCTGCTGATAGTCAGTCAGCGTAATCCAAACGCGGGATTGAGTCAAAAATGGGGGAAGAAAATAAAATCCTCTTCATCCTACGCATATATTCAGAGCACTCACCCGTACTAAGACTAGAAAAAATACATCACCGTTTCTACATTAAGTCGTTGGGAGGAATCGAACCCCCACACTCCCATAACTTGGCACACCATCTTCAAGAAGGGAGCGGGAGCGGCCTGCCACTGGCCAACGATGGATTTCGAGTAGGAGTTGGTGTGGGTGGACGAAGGTTGACTGCGGTGTGTGAATATAAAGGGCTCACTTACACGCGGCGAGCAAAACAACGCCAAAACGAGAATTGGTGGGGTAAAACGAGACGCGGTGAATCGGTTGGAGCGATTTGAGGAGTAGGATAAAGCGTGCCCTTAGATCCTTGCGCCCGAAGAACCCGTGCGCGTTCTAATACGAGCGAGGATGGAGACTCCCCAGAGCGCATATTCAAGCGATCAGTTTAGTTGGCGGAGCGGAGGATAAGTTACAGAGATCTTGAGGTAGCCGCAAACCTTGTCGGTGGGTACAAGTGTAAGGATTTTTGAATTCCGCTATCACCTGGGGGGCGGAAATTAATCGTTGACCTTCAGGCTGTTTTGGTGCTGCTGATAGTCGATCAACGTAAGCCAAACGTATGGAAAGCCAGAGCACCACGCTCGTTTGATGGCCGGCGCTTGCCCGATAGGGCAGTTGGACCTTTGACACCCGCGACGTTAGCGACGGTTAGGGCTGTGCTGACTGTCCCAAGTTCTAAGTGTTAGGGCTCCATGTATTGTAGCCTATAAAAAATGAGGAGGTCCCGGTACTTATATTCCAGGTCCTTTTTAAAGGATTTCCGGCCCGTCACATGGTCACGTGATCATTCGCGTCTCGCGTCCGCCGCGCGTTCGACGTGCCGGGAACCGCGTCCTGACGTGTTTCCGACTTCCCTGTATGTTTCTAAACAGTATTCAGTCCTAAGAAATGGAAATTCATTCCAGTCTGAGTAAATCCCCTGTAGATAGTGCACAATGAACTCTACTTTGGACCGCTCAAGATGTTGCTAACCTGCAGCCCAGTGTTTTTCCTTGGGAAAGCTTCCCAGATCATTTTCAGTGATTTTTCCCTGTCATTTGCAGTGTATCTCGTCAGATTGGCTTCCCCAGATAATCCTCTACTGTTTTAATGTCTCTCTATTTTCCGACAACCGCGGACACATAACGTGAGCATCCCCCACACCTCGAGGCTAATCGGGCCACCAGAGAGGGAGGGAACAGCGAGCTTGCAAGGCTAGCAGGCCTCAAGGCTTGCATTTATCAATCTGGATAGCATTTTCGCCAGATTTTAGAGTTTGCTGATTTGATGTGACTGGCTACTTGTTGGAGTTGAAGTGTTGACTGGCCCAGAGGCGTCGTTCATGTGTCAAAACAAAGACTCGCTTCAAGGGCATTTGAAGGTGGTGTCAGAATTTTCCGTGAAGGGAATGTGCCCGTCGCCTTTGAGGCATTTCCAAAGCAGCACATTTGCAACAAGTTCTGCACTTGATTTGAACTTATTTGAATTGGTAGACGAGGCAGCACAGACTTATTTGAGCATGCTTTTTTAGTCTTATCTTATCGCTCATGATCCAGTGTTTGCCCTAAGGGCCTTAAATTGGGTTGGTTGGCTCCTTAAGGCATTAATCTTAAGGGCCTTTAAGGCCTTCGATTAAAAATTCCCATGGTATTTGGCACAGCCGAAATATCAGAATTAGCCTATGTACTCCTCATCTCCTTTGCCAACAACTCCATCGGAATCTCCTCCTCCTCCTCCATCATACGAGCCAACAGTTTCCGAGTACGGGGCTTCTCTGCCCCTCCAGATAGGCCTGGTTTTTCCCCGGTGGAAACATTGCTCCAGCAAGATGGTAGTCGACAGTCACATCGGCAAAGAAAATGGAAATTTACAAATGGTACACGTTAGAATTTAAGGCCTTGTTAAGGTCGGGAACGCTGGGCCGAAAAATTTTAAGGCCTTAATTAAGACCTTAAGGGTTAAGGCCTTAGGCCTTAGGGCGAACACTGCCGCTCATCTTATCTTTTCTGGGTCCCGAGCTTCCTACTGACCTAGACTTTGAAGGCCTTTGTAAAAGTGGCTTACTGGAGAATGAATGCCATTAGGATTGCATCGGCAGTTAACTAGAAATTAGTAGAATGTACATCTGACTGGCAGTTTGGTCGCCGGTGTCATCAGTCCCACTACCCGATCAGGCAATCACCGGCCATCAAACGAGCGTGGTGCTCTGGCTTTCCATACAAACGCGGGATTTAGTCAAAATTGGGGGAGGAAAATAAAATCCTCTTCCTACATACACATTTAGAGCACTCACCCGTACTTAGACCAGAAAAAATATGTTTCTCCTTTTCATCCTATGCCGTCGGAGGATTCGAACCCCCGCACTCCCATAACTTGCCACGACTTTATCAAAGGAGCGGGAGCGGCCTGCCACTGGCAAACGACGGCTTTCAAGTAGGAGTTGGACTGGGTGTGGGTGGATCAAGGTGGATCAACTGTGGCGGGTGAAATGTAAAATGTAAATCACTCACCTACGCGCGACGAGCAAAAAACACAAAAGCAAAAAGAAGAGCGGTGAATTGTGGAGCGATTTCGGGAGTAGGATGGTGTGATCCCTTGAACCCTGGCGCTGGAAAAAGCCATGCTCGTTCTAGTCCAAGTCCAAGGAGGGAGACTCCCGAGGGTGCATATTCCCCGATGAGTTTAGTTGGCGGAGCGGAGGATAGTGGATAGAAATCTGAAAGGAGCTACTGGTGTCGGTGAGTACAAATGTAAGGATTTTCGAATTCTGCTGTCACCTGGCGGGCCGAAATTGATCGTAAAACTTCAGTTTTAGTTCTGATGATAGTCGTTCAGCGTAAGCAACACGCCGGATGTAGTCAGACATGGGAAACAAAATAGAACCCTTCTTCGTCCTACGTATACATCCAGCGCACCCACCCGTAGTTAGATCAAAACAAAACTTCATTTCTATGCCATCGGGTGGATTCGAACCTCCGTCACTCCCATAACTCGCCAATCTCCAATAAGGGAGTGGGAGTGGCCTGCAACTGGCCAACGACGGCTTTCCGAATAGGAGTGGGTGGATGAGGCGTGTGAATGTAAATAGCGAGCGAGCGAGTAGACCTGAGTGAAAGAGAGTACCAGGGGTTGAAGAAATTGCGGGACCACAACTAAGGCAGCAAAGTTTCGTCAAAAGACTCATCAGGTGGCTGTATCCCTTTGTATGCCTGCGGGGTTTGTTTGGCGGCGCCTTGGGCGCCAACCGATACAACAGCCGTGTGGATGAGGCGTGTGAATGTAAATAGCTCACTTACACGCGGCGAGCAAAACAACAGCCAAGCAAAAAGAGAATTAGGGAGTAAAGCGACACGCGGGGAATCGATTGGAGCGATTTCGGGAGTAGGATAGGGCGTGCGTCTGAACTCTTGCACGCGCGCGAAAGACCCGTGCGCATAATGTATACGTTGACGACTCTGCATCGTGCGCGAATTCATTTGGGGGAACGTGTTCTGGTTCGTGCATATTTTAGTGCTGCTGATAGTCAGTCATCGTGAGCGAACCCCAGGATTTAGCCAGAAATGGGGGGAATAAATAGATCTATTATAATATACATTCAGAGCAGCAAAAGTCTAGAGTCCTTTATACCCATACCGCCGGGAGGATTCGAACCCCCGCACTCCCATGACTTTCTCATATCTATTGCAAGGAAGCGGGAGCGGCCTGCCACTGGCCAACGACGGCTTTCAAGTAGGAGTTGGTGTGGGTGTGGGTGTGGGTGTGGGTGGATGAAGGTCGATCGAGTGCAGCGTGTGAATGCAAACGGCTCACCTACGCACGACGAGCGAAACAACGGCAAAAAGTTGGCAAAAAGAAGACTATTCGCAACGCGGTGAATCGATTGGAGCGGTAGGACAATGCGCGCCCTGGCACCCTTGCACGCGCCCCGCAAAAGACCCGTGCGCATAAAGTATACGTTGATGGCTGTGCGTCGTGCGCGAATTCATTTGCGGGAATGTGTTCTGGTTCGCGTGTTTCAGTTTCCAGCCCTGAGACGGGTGGTATGAAATTCAAGGCAGACAGAGACAAAGAGGATGAGGAGGGCGCGCGCATATGCGAGTCCCATACGAATTAAGCGGGCGCAGAGATTGTGGGGCTGCGTAAGCCGCGGGAGGTCATGCATCAATGATCGGAGGGGCGCGCGCGATAACGTGGATCGGAGTCGGATAAACAAGAAGGTGGGCCCGGTTCGCCCGGGCATAAGGTCATGAAAATATCACTGGAAATTAAACACCCACTGGGACATGCTCGGAATCCGGCTACGCAATCAGCCACCAGTAAGCAAGAAAAAGTGCGTGTTTCGATGAATGACCCGACCTCGAGTCGAACGTGTTTCTTCTGCTGAGTAACACTAGACCCCGATCTTACAATGTGCCGAGGCGGCCGTCCGCCATCAGGTCTGCACGAGAGTTAATGGAGTGATTGTCTCCTCGTGAGTCTTGGAGCACTGGCTTTGAATTTGCGAATTTATTGGGTGGAGGGGAATTCAGCCGGGTATCGATCAGGATGTTCTCGCCAATCCCAAAACACCCGCTGGGACGTGGTCGGAATCCTGCTACTCAATCAGCCACCAGTAAGCATTTTTTTTAAGAAAAAAAAAAAAAACTTTACGTTACCCGAAGAATGACCCGACCCCGAGTCGAACGGGGTTCTTCTGCTGAATAACTAAATCAAACGTACTGTTCACAGATGCGGCCGTCCGCCATCGGGTCTGTGCGAGAATCAACGGAGGGGTTTATCCTGGTCAGTGCTGGACCCTAACTTTGTATTTGTGCATGTAATAATGAGTGGACTCAGTGGAGGGACGCCGGGCATAAGATCATGGAACCATCACTAAAATTGAAACACCCACTGGGACATGGTCGGAATCCGGCTGCGCAATCACCCACCAGTCAGTGAGAAGAATAACAAAAACGCTCGCGTCAAGGAAGAATGACCCGACCCCGAGTCGAACGGGGTTTATTCAGCTGAGTGACAATAAACTGAGTCTACAATGCACAGAGGCGGCTGTCCGCCTTCGGGTCTGTGCGAGAGTCAGTGGAGGGGGTTTATCCTCGTGAGTACCGGAGCACTGACTGTGAATTTGTGCATGAGTGGAAGGGGATATCACGTTGGGCGTCAATCGAGGCATTCTCAGGTGCGCCGATCGATTAAAGGTGAAGAAATGGAAATGGAGCCCACCGGAGTGGAGTGCACACCATACAGATAAACTGGAAAAAAAAGGCAGACAATTCGGCCAACATGACCCGACCCCGAGTCGAACGGGGTTCTTCTGCTGAACAAATCAGGAATTTTTAGAGTTCGCAGAGGCGGCCGCACGCCATCGGGTCTGTGCAAGAGTTAATGGAGGGGGTTTATCCTAGTGAGTACTGGAGCCGCCCTAACTGACTTTGAATTTGTGCATTTCTTGAGCGGGGTGGGAATTCAGGCCGGGCATTGATATTCTCGCCAATCCCCAAATCCCAGCTGAGATATGGTCGGAATCCGGCTACGTTGGGCCTCCGCAATCCTATCGAGTCAGGGGTGTAATAATTTGAGGCCGGGGCTTCGATGGGTGTTGTGTGAATTTCGTGTTGTGTAAATTTCCAAATGCGATGAGAAGCTATGGTGATAGTCGGTCAGGGTAAGCCAAACGCAGGATTTATACAAAAATGGGGGACACAAATGGAACCTTTCTTCGTCCGATACATTCAGCAGCAAAATTCCATTCTTCAGGCTAATGCCGTCGGGAGGATTCGAACCCCCGCACTCCCATGACTTTCTCATATCTATTGCAAGGGAGCGGGAGCGGCCTGCCACTGGCCAACGACGGCTTTCCTAGTGTGGGTGAATGAAGGTCGACCGACTGCGGCGTGTGAAAGTAAAGCGCGGCGAGCAAAAGAACGGTAAAAAGAAGACTATTTGCAAGGCGGGGAATCGATTGGAGGGATTTCGGGAGTAAAACAACGCCCTGGTGTGGGCGTGGGTAGATGTAGGTGTGTGAATGTAAACGGCTCACGTACGCGCGACGAGCAAAAAAAAACAAAAGCAAAAAGAGAATTGGGGAGGTGAAGCGGGACGCCGTGAATCGATTGGAGATTTTCAGGAGTAGGACAATGCGCGCGTCTGAAACTTAAACACCCAGTGGGACATGATTGGAATCCGGCTGCGCAATCACCCACCAGTCAGTGAGAAGAATAACAAAAGAAACGCTCATGGAAGAACTACCTGACCCCGAGTCGAACGGGGCTCTTCTGCTACACTAAACCCCGATCTTACAATGCGCAGAGGCGGCCGTCCGCCATCGGGTCTGTGCAAGAGTTAATGGAGGGGGTTTATCCTCGGGAGTACTGGAGGACTGACTTTGAATTTGTGAATGTAATGAGTGGAGGGGGAATTCACGCTGGGCATCAATTCAAGGTGATCTCGCCAATTCCAGGTGCGGCAGTCGCTGAAAGTAAGTCGGAGTAGAGAAGGAGCACACATCATCCAGATAAACTGGAAAAAAGGGGCAAATAAGTCCGCAAGCATGACCCGAGCCAGAGTCGAACGGGGTGCTATTCAACGCTTCGATTCACGGATGGAAGACGCGGGCCTCCGCAATCCTATCGAGTCAGGTGTCAAATAATTTGATTTCGGGGTTCCTCCAATGGGTATTGTTTACAAATCCAATTGCGATGAGAAGAAAAGACAGGAAGCGAAGTGTAGTACCCACCAGCCAAATCGACGGAAATGACATTTGTTCTACTTCAATACGAAAATAGGGGCGGGGAGGGAGACTCCCGAGAGCGCATATTCCCCGATGAGTTTGGTTGGCGGAGCGGAGGATAGTAGACAGAGATCTTGAGGTAGCCGCTAGTGTCGGCGAGTACAAGTGTAAGGAATTTTGAATTCCGCTGTCACCTGGCGGGCCCGTTGAACTTCAGCCGCGAATATGTTGGTTCTGCTGATAGTCAGTCATCGTGCGCGACAGTCAGGATTTAGTCAAAAATGGGAGAAGAAAATAGAACCCTCTTCGTCCGATACATTCAGAGCACTCACCCGTAGTTATATCAGAAAAAAACTCTTATTGTGAGACCTATGTATGCCGTCGGGAGAATTCGAACCTCTGTCACTCCCATACCTTGGCTCACATCTGCAAGAAGGGAGCGGGAGCGGCCTGCCACTGGCCAACGACGGCTTTCAAGTAGGAGTTGGTGTGGGTGTGGGTGGATGAAGGTCGACTGCGGCGCGGGGAGCAAGAAACACAAAAGCAAAAAGAGAATTAGGGAGGTAAAGCGAGACGCCGTGAATTGATTGGAGCGTTTGAAGGGTAGGACAATGCGCGCTTCTGAACCCTTGCACGCGCGCGAAAGACCCGTGCGTATAATGTATATGTTGATGACCGTGCGTCGTACGTGAAATCATTTGCGGGAATAGGTGCTGGTTCGCCTGTTTCAGTCTCCAGCCGTCGAGGCGGGTGGGGCGTACTCCAAGGCAGACGGAGACGAAGGGGGGGAGGGGGTGCGCACATGCGAATCCCGTATGAATCAAGCGCGCGCGGAGTTTGTGAAGGCATCGAAAATCGGAGGGGCGTGCGCGATGACGTGGATTGGAGTCGGATAGACAAGACACGGCGGTGCTAAGCTATCGAAGGCGCCTTCACGGACTGACTGACATTCGGCGGTTGGAGCTTCCACCGTGATTGATAGAGTTCGGCGGGCCTGACTTGATGAGTAGAGAGTGCCTGGAGTGGTGTGCTGTGGGGTATACGAAAATCAGGGCAGCGGATGTGTCGGGGCAGATGGATGTGATGTCATGGATGTGGTGGATGCATTCGACGTTCGCCAGGAACGGCTCCGATCGACCAATCATCATCTTCGGATCAACGGCCATCAGACGCATCATAGCCATGACGCGTGCGCCGTTCCGCGTCGGTTCCTTGTTCCAAACTCTTATCTTATCCTATCTCATCTCACCGTCTCAAGGGGCTTCAACTTCAAGGGGCCATCTGTGCTTCTCGGATGCTCTGAATTGTTTTCGCTAAGTACACCAAGCAGTGATTCCGAACCAATTCCGAACGCCACACAGCCAGCAGCAGGTTAGAGGCGTGGAAATCAATTAAGGGGGGATCCTTTTAATTGTATCCGAGGGCAAATTTGAAATAATGTTGGACCTTTCCTGACCTTTGCTATGTACCTTTTTCGCAACGGAATTTCGGAACATCAGATGGGAAGTGCACGTGATAATCCGAGCTCTCTGAGCCTTCTTTCATGACGACGATTCACTCCCCAACCTCCGGAGTCCCAGCCCAAAGTCTCGTCGCTTCGCGGCGCTTCACTGTACCGGATATCTCGTCGGAGTTTCGGTGCCCGGTGCCATCTTGTCGAGTTCCTTGGACTACACCAGTCTGAGTCACCGGGTCAGACCACGCGCTGGCCACCGCACGCAGGCGTCGGCTCACAAGACCGTCGACGGGGGATGGAGGAACGCGATCCCCATGCGCACTGACAAATTGTGACGGCCCAGGCACTCCATACGAGTCCGACGATAACTTGCGCTTCCCTCCGTCTTCTCCTGGACTCCGCATTAATGTCCCTAGGACGTCAGCTCTTGTTCGGCCTCTTCGCGGGCGCGCTCGGCCTCGTGGCGGCGCAGACCGTGACCCTGGATCCCTCGATTCACTACACCGTCACACGTGCGTGCACTACTTACTTTACGGGTGC